AGACATGTGACTGTTAAGTCGAAGATAGAGAGAGATCTCTTCTTGTAATAACTTCACTTCAAAGCTGTAAAGTTATCTAGGGGAGTTATATATGTATATGTATATGCGTTGTTAATAAGTAACAAAGATGAGAAATTGCTATTCAGTTAGCAGAAAAGACAAATGAAAGTAGTCTAGAATTGCATGAGAAATAATAATACTAATAATGTGTGAAAAATAGTGATGATGAATAGTCATCATTCGGAAAATAATTTGTAGGCAACAAGGAAGTGAAAATGAGTTTATCAGGAAACAAAAGAGGTTGGAAAAAATGTCGTCGAACACAAAGTTCAGGTCTCTCCTGATGGATTACTAGAGCTTCTGCTACATGCGGAAGATGAAAGCGAAATTCTTTTGAACAGCTTGATCGTACATCGTCTGAGGTGGTTAGGACATGTGTTACGGACGCCTAGTCATCGCCTTCCTCGATGGGCAATGTTAGCTAACAATAGGGTCAGGCTGGAAAAGAGCTGGCGGTGGTCAAACCAAAACATGGCACCAGTCAGTCAAATCTACAACAGTTAGTTTAAGCCAGCCACGTAGGGAGGTGTATACTTCCTGACTGGTTGGGGTCCTCGGGACGGTAAAAACCAATGGTTGGAAACAATTGATGACATGGCTCAAAATCGTTCTCAATGGCTGACGCTGATGCATCCACTCCTTGTGGCGTATGATTTCCAATGAAACTGTTTTGTTCTTCGTTATTACTATTCCTTTGTCTCACACCTCTGTCTACTGTCTCTATTATGCATTTCTTCTACTTTCTTGTGTTGCTTTGTGTGTTACAAGGAGAAAGTGTGGCGACTTGCATTGCCGCACATATGTGCAAAGTTCTATGTTGAAACCAGACAGATCATGCTTAATATTATAACTCTGAATATGATAACTATGAGAATAACAATAAGGCTTTATTCCAGACAGCACACAAACACAGAGTATAGAAATACTCAGCGATTTTTTTCCAAAATCTTTCCTCTTCATACAGGATTTACACGTCAAGTAGTAATCTGAAGTATATTATATGGCGTAGCTTTGTGATATATGAAGACGGAACCAATTCTGTACATTCTTGCCTCATTTCATTTCTTTAGTTGGTTGGAGGATTTCATCATGAGCTGACATTGGTTAAAGAACCATTGGAAAACCTGGAAGTTCTACCAAATGGCTGTTTCGTCAGCCTAGTTTGGGACTCTTTATCAGTACGCACCCACCGGGGTTCGAACCCAAGACTTTCTGGCTACAAGGCTAGCGACCAAGTTTGCAGACCATTAAGCCACTGGGATCCAACTGGTTCAATGGCCAGTCAGTGCATGAACTCTAACTTCTGCCAATTCTTTCAAGAATCGTATAGCCTTTTAGTGAGAAGCTAATTAAATATGTTCGCTAGTTGGCATACTGATCATTTGATGTAATCGCCTGACTAAAACAATAAGAAATGCAGAAGAATTTATGCATTCTGATGAATGGTAATTCTCGTAGTCTAGTGATTTAAACAGGCCGCTGTGTACACGTAACCAATAATTCTGGTTAATTAACTATTTGGACGAAGTGATAACACATTGAATCAAATATTTGCAACTATATATGGAATTTACATGAATATTAGCAATTTTTTCAACAACTCGAGGTGCATATAAACGTATTAGTCCATTGAAATGTCTATACTCCTTGAATGTAGTCGATTTAGTATGCATGATAAGAGTAAGATAGAATATTCTGAATTCAAGTATTGGTTTTTAGGCCCTATTCAGGTGGGTCAGGAGGGAAGTCGTGACCAGTAGGGTTCATCAGTGTAAAGACAAATACTCACCGAAGACATTGGCTAGTGGTCGCGCTATGTCTTGAATTGGCAGAAGTTAGAATTCATGCACTGGCCATTGGATCGAATCCCAGCGGTTTAATTATCTGCGAGTTTGCTTGCCTTGTAACCAGAAATTCTTGGGTTCGAACCCCCCTGTGGTGGGTGCATACTGATGAAGAGTCCCAAAGTAGGGCGATACCAATGTCAGCTCACGATGAAATCCTGTAACTACTCTGCATTGTTAGAGAATCTCAGTGGTGATAAATAAGATTGGGTCTGACTGATGAACAAAACTCCCTTAGAGGTGGTGGCATTCTGACTGATAGATTGATTGCTGACGGAATCTTGATGAATACAGGATACTGTTTCTTTGTCATTAGTTTAGTCAACGAATTCTAACTAGTAGATTCAATGTTGAGTTTCTTTTCTGTATGATACTATGGGTGGGTGGCGGTTGGTGTGTGTGGCGTGGATTTAATATCTGTTTACTCCTCGTGCTGGGACTGTTTACCCTAAGTCCTTCAGATAACATGATTAGCAAGTTACAACTCAATGAAGTGGGTTGAAAACCAATTATCCACTCCGTTCGACAGTCTTGGTTGTGAACGTCATTCTCACCATCTTAAAAAATTTTGTATTATGCAGGATTACTCACCCTACCACTACAAACACCGCATTAGAGCTGACAATAAAAAACCTGAAATGTTTATTTTATGATTGTTTAGTGTTGTTCAATCAAATTAACTGATCATGCGATAAACATTCTTAGTATCAAATGAACTGTAGTCAAGATTTGACAGAATAGTTCTAAAATATTTGGGCGCCGAGTGAGAAGTAGACATAAATTCTAGATACTAACAGATTGAACAGACATGAAGGTGTGATGTTAGATGATGCATAGAAAATCCTGATTAATAAATAAGAATGGATATGTATCACTAATTAATAATACTTGGTCAAAGTTCCCGACTGTCTATATCTACTTATGGAGACGTTAAGACATTGTTTTACAACTGTTTATCCGCACACACATAAACATTGTGTTGAAAGTGTTCAACAAAGGTAGATCAATATTTGTAAGTCTGAGGTCAAATTTTGATCACAACTCGTACAATTTTGTTTATTGTACTATGTTGATGCCTGTTTTATGACTCATGATTGGACAAAGTGTTTTTAAAAACAAGAGATGTTCCATTTATATATAAACCTCTGTTATGTTAATTTCGATTAATTTCCCTGAAGAAGTTCGGACCAGGTTGCCGAACGAAACGTTGGAATTACTCATTTCAATATCGCTGAGATTTTACAAATATAATTTTTTACAAATTCTTAGTATCATTTCATAACTTCTTGTATGATATAGTTTTACCGTTCACCACGCATAAACATATCATAGCTTCCAATACCCAATACTGAGATATTATTTATTATGTTGTTTATCTTCGTCTCTACTTCTTGGTATTTTTTCTCATTTTTTTGCTATTTTGTGTTTTTCTTTGCTGTTGTTTTTTATATTTATTTGTCGAAATACTCCTTTTAAATGTTTGATAAAATTAGATGCAATATTGTTGATAAGTGCTGAAAATTCCACACTGTACCACTAGTACTGTTTCTAGAATAAAGCATTTATCATTATTTAAGACGACAGTCAGTCATTAATATAATCTAGTGTTGAATGGCCCTCCAGTTTATGTTTCTGTACGCATCACAAGAAACATTTCGAACAGGCTATTTCAAACGTTTTTTCAATAGCTCCTTATTGAGGATCAGATAGCCAGCGAGAAATTATCTACATGTAATAACAAGAAAGTCTGGGAACATACAGATTATGAACGTATTGCTCAACAAATATGCCATGGCTCGAATGGAGCATAGACGGGGAACGACGAGTTGAGGTTTTTTTTGTCTGAGTTTGACGTGAGTGAGATTCATCATATTGAAAAAAATCCCCATTTACACATTTAGAAAACAGAAAGATTGAGCGAAGAAATGTTTTTCATGATGCGCTGTCTAAATTTCTGATCCATATAGAAGCACTAACTGTTTCATATTTTTCTGTTGTGATTTGAAGTTTTTCTCTAGCGACTGAATTTATTTCCCTAAACCCAATCTCCTTGGCTTTATAACTGACAAGAAAACCAAAGAACTAGATTTATGTTTTCTCCTATGGTTTCTTTGTATTTCCTTTATTTTACTCCATATTTACGTACACTTTATGAAGTGCGACAGGTTGAATTGCTGCTTCACTGTAGAGCCAATGCTCACCACTTGAAATCCAGTTCACGTTTGGTATAACAAGTGTGGGTGGATTAGGGGGGATGTCAATTCTGTATGCATGTAATGCGCTAATTGTTTGCATTTTGTATTCACATCGAGCAAAAAGTACTATTGTAACGAGAGAAGACAAGGGTCAGGCAACAGATCGTTTATTGAGGAAATCAATAGATATTTATAAATTTTTATGTACATTATTATACGTTATTGTTAGCAGAGAAAAAATGTCTTCTGATTGGTTGTTCTCTCGCTGGAAGTTATTCTGTCATCTCTTTGTGGCGATTTCTTTGAAGGTCAGACCATATATCTTCGAATCGTATCCGCCCACGCAAAGTCCTTGTTCTTGTTTTATTTCTCATGTCCAAGATTTGGGAAGTAAACATTGACGTAAATTGCTGTCTACCAATTTTAGCTAGCAGACAGCTCTCACCACACGATCAGTTTGGTCAACTAGTTTGTGAGTTTTTGTTCATCCATCCATTCTGATAGCTTCGAAGATTAATTTATCTCTGAGGTTAGAGAATATGACTCGTTGAATTCTGAAAATTGTTATCTTTTAAGTGGGATGTCTTATACCCATGCATTCATCTTGTCTGGATTGGGTTTTTATATTCATATATGATGAGTGCCCTCCTGAAAGATATCGGGGTGGGGTTGTCAGTTCAGTAGCCTGAATACACATTTGCCTTGCCATTGTTGGGCACACTAAGCCTCAACTTAATTCCATCTACCTGAATTTAAGTAACAGTTCAGCTAAGTATCATAAATCATTAGTGCACTAACTGTTAAGTTTCGTAGTTGTATTTTTATAACATAAAGTACTTAGTAGTCATTTTAGTAGTATATAAACCTGTTTTTTCTACTTTCTTTTAATGTTCACTCATAGTCGTCTTCCGAGTAATATACGCCCTGATTACACAAAATTGGGTATATCTCATCCATTCACCTATCCTTGGTCTGAACTGATTGTGCAGTATGCCTCAGGAATAGTAAAACCTACAGATACGACTGCTACTACTACTACGATGACGCCGACTTCTAGTTTTCCTACGAATGAGCTGACATCAACAACAACAAGTACTGATAACACTGATGTAGCTGGTAAAATTACCATTGATGAAAATAACTGGTTTGTTCTACGTGAACCAGCTTTATTACGTTTAGTTGTGCACAGAATGATAACTGGTGACAATCGGGCTAAATTATCTATACAACAGTCGTACAATTATAATCCATCACTTTTAAACGCACTAATTCTAGTAAGTAATAAGGTTATTCCAAGTTAATTTTGTTTATTAAATATATAAGATTTAGTGAAACAGTATTATTTGCTGGATGACTAACTTTCAAACACGAATGATTATTGTTCATAATCATACTATCAAATTATATAACTACAGAACTTCTAGACTTTCGTTTCTTAGTTTTCTTTATTCCTTCCTGTTCGTCGTCCTAGGATTAGTAGTAGAATTTTCCAGATGTCCAGTTGGACAGGTGTTGAATCATTCCTGTTGCACGTATTCACAGTTGATTCGATAAATAAAGCTTCCGTTATCAATATCTCCCTCCACTCTGTGTCATTAGATTTTAAAACTGTCATCCTATTCCATCATTCTATTGTATGGTGGTGTGTAATTGCATACAGTAAGTGGTATAGCTGAACTATTCTCTAGATTTCTTATCTTATTTGGGTCAACTAATCTAGATTTTGTTAGGTTTTTATGTTCCGCTAGTCTGACTGACTGTACCTATTCTACTACTTTGACCTATGTATTTGACTTGTCAGTCATTGCAGACAGGGTATTAGATAAACTAAATTCTTTTGTTTTATTGGCTAAACTTCACAGAATCCTTTAACGAACAAAGTTAGTTTCTAATTCAGTTTGTGGGGTGATTGAATGCCAGCCACTTTTATTCCTTCCTGCATTGTTAAGAATTCTCCGTAATGTGGTTTCTGTAGTTCCTTTTATTGAATGTTCATCACAAAGATTTAAAACTTGAATGGTCATTAAGATTTTGCATTATCATCGTCACACTAACAGAAATTATTCAACAGTTGTACGACAACGGCACATGTCAGGTGATCCACAATGGAAAACTCAGCAAGGCGTTTGGAGTAAACACAGGAGTCAGACAAGGGTGCTTATAATCACTAATGAATGATATTCCTAATTGTGGTGGACTTGGATTGCGCGTCAGACAGTGGGAAACGAGAAGACAGGGATATCCTTTCTGGACCGACATGAAGAACGTAGAAGACCTGGATTTCGCGCGTGGATGATTTATGTTTGATGTCACACAAATTCGAAGACTTACAAGCGAAAACCGACAAACTGGTCGAAGAAGCAGAAAGAGATTATGAAAATAACCAACCAATAACAACAACAGAAGAAACATCTAGCGCCAATCACCATCAATGGGAGGGATTTGAAAGAGGTTACTTCATTCACTTATCTAGGGAGCATTGTCTCAACTACAGGAAGTTGGAACGCACGAGGATGTCAAATCGAGCGAGAATCGGGAAGGCGAGAAACACATTCATCAACCATCATTACAAACCAATCTGGAAATCGTCACTCAGCATCAACAACAATATTCGGTCGGATTTTCAATACAAACGTCAAGTCAGTCAGTTCTTCTATACGGATGAGAAACTTGGCGGATCACAAAGAATATTTCCAACAGCTTGTTGCAGACCTTTATCAACAACTGTCTTAGCTAGCTCTATGCTGAAGATCAGACAGCCGGGCTGGAAAGAATCACCAACAAGAAACTATGGGAACAAACTAAACAAAGCAAGAACCAATCGCCAACCAACAAATATGCAGGAGGAAGTGGAAATGGATCGGACACTCGCTGAGGAGACCGCTGGGTGACATCGTGCGTCAAACCCTCGAGTGGAACCCGAAAGGGAAGCGGCGAGTGGGACGTCAGTGCAAGGGTGATATGGAGGAGATCGTGTGAAGAGTTGAGGAGTTGAAACAGTATGGACTAACATGGATGCAGGTGAAAAGTACAGCACAGGACAGAAGCAAGTGGAGACGTGCAGTTGAGGCCCTATGTTCCACTAGGAACCTAAGGGAACAATAAAAAACAATAATTATACACTATTAGAACTGGGATTCCTGGTAGCGAAATATCGGTATTTATGTCAGTGGTTCATTGGTGGAGTATCCACCCGGCACTCCTAAACCTCGTCTAGTTTATACTCTAGGAGGTTGGAAATGAAATCCCATCTTGTGAAAACAGCAACACCATCGTTAATGAGACTTCAAATACTTGAAGTGTTCTGTGTCCCACTCAGAAAACAGTGGAATCAAAAGAAGTATTAAGTAAGTTCATGTCTTTTCATGTTGGTGAAGATATCACGTTAAAAACATAATGGGCCTGCGTGTCTCCCTGCCTGAAGGTGACTCATAGGAAGAGAAGGAAGAACTGTGGGTGCTTGGTTTGAATCTCAATGGAAACACTAATACAAGTCACTAGATATTGCGGGTGTCCCCAGTTTGACGAGTCCTAAATGGGGACGAAATGCGCATCCTGGATTCTATCGTCAAAGCGTCTGTACTAGGAGTTGAAATGTCAATCGAGACACTGGCCATTTGAGTTCTGCATAATCAATCAAATAGGAAATATTGCCAGTTAAATCTAATTAAATTGAATTTCTATTCTACTAACTGATCTAACTTATTTGTATTTTATTCTTACTCTGGTGTGTTTTATTACAATTTCGCGCTAATTACAAATCAAGGTTTATTTGAAATCTGAACAACGTGGTGTTCCACAGTCCTATGCACGTATTTATGCATTTTATGATAATTCAAGAAAGACAAGCATTCATCATCAGATCCAATCAAATCGTAGTGATGATGATGATGATAAGAAATCGAATCAGCAACAAATGCCTCCTCCTCGTTATCTCCTTGGTTATGTACAAGATGGTGGATACGGTCAATCGATTGGTCGTGGAATTGGTCTAGGCTTTATCAGTTTAAGTGCTTTATCGAATGCATTAACTCAAACTGACAATAATAATAAGATAATAAAATATTGTATTCAAAATTCGACATCAATGCAATATTATAATGTTAAACTGTCAGTAGTTATTTGATGAACAGAACACGGAACAAAGGAGAAAGATTGAGGAATATGTACACTTCAAAACAGTTATGTCAATGTCTGTACATACTGTATTATATAGAGGAAAAAAATATATATTACATACTATAATTTTATATGGAAGATGCAAATTTTGCTTGTTCTTTTGAAGTGCGTGTGTGTATAAAACTCACACTATCAGTCGTGTCGATTTTTTTATTTATGTCAAGTAAAAGGGAACCATTAGAAAACCAATAGCAAGGGAGGGACTACTGGACATCTGTTTCGTGGGCCTAGTTTGGGACAAGTTAGCCTGTAGACCATTCATCCAAGTCACTGGGATCCGACTTAATGGCCAGCTCATCAATTCTAACTTCTACACATTTTAGTACGACCACCGTCCGATGGCATCACCAGCGAGTATTTGTTCTTACTGCCGTCCTAGTCACGACTTCTCTTTGGAATCACGAAATCACATTGGTTAAGACTGATGAGGTGGTCATGGAATCGGCTTCCAGTGGCTGAATTGAATGGTCTACGAGCTAGCTTGACTTGTAATCGGAAGTTCTCCCGACCTGTGTTGGGTGAATACTCCTGGCACAAGGCTGTTGTAGGTCGTTGATTATCCCGATATACAAGAAGGGAGACAAATCTTTCTGTGATAGTCACACGGGAATTAGCTTCACTAATATGGTAACTGAGTGTTTCGGCGGTATAGCGGTTAGGACGCTCGCCGACCATGCATATGGCCCGGGGTTCGATCCCCGGTCGACGCACTCCTTTTATCTCGCTGAGCCAGAAATAATACTGGTAGGGAGGAAAGGTTGGGCAAGGGGCTAGTCACCCCACTAGCTTGAAGCCCTATGTTCCACTGGGGAACGAGAAGGAAAACAATATGGTATCTAAAGTTCTAGACTCAATAATATTGCGTAGACTAAGCGGTGCTCAGGAGGAACAAACACGAGAGAACCAGGTAGGCTTCAGACCAGGAAGGAAGAGGGTGTATTGCTCATATCTTCACCCTTCGATAGATTCTGGAACATAGACATACTTTCCGTCGCTGTCTAACAATCGTTATATTTCTTGACCTGAAAGTGGTATTCGATTCTGTCGACTGAGAGCTTCTCTGGCCATGCTTGGCTGTAAAGGGAATACCGAGAAAATACATTGCACTAATTAAGGCACTCACTCTACTCGATCTCATATGCAGCCAGGTAGGAGCGTACTGAGTGTTGTCATCTGAAGTGGTGACAACTAGTGGTGTTCATCAGGAGGCAACTTTAACTGTAAGCACCACTAACTAACAATCAGCAAATGACCTCGAACGCACCAATCACGTGAACGAGACATTTTTGTGTATGGAATAAATATATTTATGAAATAATGGATAAAAACAGTAGAAAAGCGTTACACAGGATACCTTGCTCTCACATGTGATAAAAATAGCTCTCAGTTTTAGGTTGGAGTATCAACAGAGTATGATTCCATTGTGGGTAAAATTTATTTTGATAAAGTGTCATAATGTTACAGACTGAGCAATAAATTGTGGTCGAAACGTCATCAGTAAATATCACTATGAGACTTTATCAAAATAAATGTTACCCACAAAGGAATTACACTCTACCACAGTACAGAAGTTTTATTCTTATATCAACAGAGTAATTGAACCACACTCTATGCATGTAATTATTTAGGTCTTCTAACCCTAACAAAAACCCTAATCTTTTCTGAACCTAACCCGGCAAAAAATAGTATATCATCCTTTTTCACGAATCATGTGATTTATCTTGTGATGGAGTTACTATGTGAATGTACCATTTCTCACATGCATATTGTGATTTAGTGTGTGAGATCAATTTATCTTTATTTTTCTCTCACCTTGATCTTTGTGCGATCAGCAACCAGTGAGAATAGAAATTTCTAGCCAGTAAGAACAATCCATTCCCACGGTTGTTACCCGACTTTATTATGGTAAGGAAAATGTATAAATACCATGTGTTGTTGCCTAAACTACATAGGGTGGTATAATACAATATCTTACAGTCACAGGCCTGGCAGCCCTTGTCTTTTGATATCCGTATGGCTCAGTGAATCGGAAGGTACAACGGACAAATAGACGTATTAGCGTACCAGTCAAGTTCATTACCGTTACAGTAATTAAAAGGCGCAGACATAACAAAGTAGCAACGGATTTATTCATTTCAGTGATAACAAATTGGCAACAGAGTTATAACAACTAACTGTAATCTAACTCGAGCCAACTCTAATGTCGCCTTTATTAGGTTAACCAAACCCTAACTTGTCCATGACTTAAAGCATAACTTAGTCTTTCCCAAACCTAAGCTGAAACTTGCCAGATATCCCATCTAGTAGCATAACGCTTCGATAAACATATTTTACTGATGATGAAAACATTATTTGTCAGGTTTCACTAACTTGCTCAGTGAACGTCCCAAGGTCATTGGTGCGGTCGCACTCCATTGGCAGCTAGTGGTGCTTAAAGTTTAACTTGGCCCATTAGGGATGCCCATCGTCTCCATTTCTGTTTAATTTCATCATACGTATCGTAATAATGAACTTAACCCTAACTGACCTGACTTCAGCGACTGACTTATTGCCACTAGTGAATGTCGTTGACTTAGAATATGCAGATGATATAGTTCTCCCTCCTAAATGTAGACAGGGTCTTCTGAACATCTTGAGGAGCAGCAGTCTTCGAATATATAGCATGCACTTCTCTCCTGTCAAATGTAAAATGGTGCTACAGGAATGGACTACACAGACTCCTAGCTTAGAAATAGAGAGTGAAGTGGTAAAGTACGTTGACCACCACCTTCACTTATTTTGGAAGTACCATCAGCCAACGCCAACGGGTTGATCTCTGAGGAAATCTCAGAACGGATACAGAAGGCTAGTTTCGTATATGCCAGTTTACGCCGCCTCTGGCCTAAACATGATGTCCGGCTATTGACCGAAGGGTGTGTACTGCTCAGCAGTCCATTCCATCCTCCTTTATGGCTGTGAGTGAGAGATGGCCATTGTGAGTGAAAGACATATGAAGGCTAGCTGTCTTTGATCATAAGTGCCTGCATTCTATCTTCCGTGTTAGGTGTAATAGGGTGAGCAATATTGAGGGTAGGCATCGAGTGTTAAGTAAGGAGGGGAAATCGACCAACGGGGTTGTGAAGTTACACCGATTGAGGTGGTTAGAAGATGTGTTATGCATGTTCGCCCAGTCGTCAATGATCTTCCTCGACGTGTAATGCTAGCTAACATAGGGTGCATCACGTTGGAAAAGAGGTCGTGAAGGTCAAACCAAAACGTGACATCTGTGAATGAAATGCACAACAGTTAGTTTAAACCAACCATGTAGGGATGTGTAAAATTCCTGACTGGTTGGGGTCCTCGGGACGGTAGAAACCAATGATGGCTAGAGACAATTGGTGTTATGCCTCAGAATCGATCTCGATAGCTGATGCAGATGCCTTCACTCTTTGTGGTTTGTCATATCCAATAAAATTCTACTGTTCGTCCATATCACTATTCTTGTCGCCTCATATTTCTGTTTGAATGTTTCTTCTCTTGCTTTGTGTGGCAACTGGAACTGCTGCGCATCTATGCAAAGTCCTATGCTGAAACCAGTCAGTCAGACACCAATGATTGACCGTGAACGCATAAGTGTCGTGTAATTACAGTGCTAGTGTATGAACGTTGTGCATGAATTGAAGCACCAAATTGATTATGGTCTCCTTTCTTAAGTAAGGTAAGTATTAGCGTTAGGGTGTTTTTATTGTTCTAATAGATGAAATCGTTTTGATAGCTATGAAACTTGGAAACTGGTACACTTAATCGAAATTAGGAGATATTTTCCAGTTACGTCAGGATAAAATCACGTCTTTAATGTTTTTTTTTAATATTGTAAGGTTATTTTTTTTTCCTGAATAGACGGGGTTTTTTGATGTATAATAGACGGTAAGTTCTCTAATTCAAGGAGTGGTTGGTGGCCAAGGCCCCTGGCACATCCGCATTCTGTGGTCGCTATTCTTTATTAGTTTGAAGAGAGAAAGAGCGAACATGTTTGCTGGATAATACGAGCTCGTTTTATTTCGTGGATACTCATCAACTGCATACATCCTAAACAAAATCAAATTATAAGTTTCAAAAACGTTTTGGAACATACTTTTTCATAATTACTTAGAGTTATAAATAGAACGTATAAGGAACGTAATTCCGGAATCTGATGTAGGTAGACAGATTATTCAGTGTCAAAAAAAACAACTAATTATATATAGTGGAATTAGATAAGAGCGGTTAGAGTTCAGATTTCTGTTGGAAAACACAGATTGGTTAGAGGCATATTACAGGGTCAGGGTTAGAGAACAGAGTGAATTTACACATTTTGTGGTGGAGAGTTTAAGAGGGTGGAGGTGAATAGTGAAGTAACATTTTTAACTTAAATGGACAGTTAAGTAGATTTAGAAACTTGAAGGTCAAAATTGAATAGAATGTTTCGTAACAAGACAAACACACAGGCATACTGACAAAAAGGCAAAACAAAAATAAAATAAAATAGGATTAGGGTTACCAGGGCAGTGAAAGATTAGTCACACTATCTTTCTGTATACAGAGGTCTGGTCGAAGTCTCTTGATAGCAATGGCTTCTGCGAAACGAAGTAGCCATGGGTTTCTTTGCGTTTTGATTATTTTGAAGGCTTGGCTAATTTCTACTGTGTGTCCTGTGTCAATTAAGTGTTTGGCGATTGCACTCGATAACACTTTTCTTCCTTTTTGTACGGAGACTCTTAGGAATGTGCTCAGAAAATCTAGTAGATGCTCTCCTCTCAGTCCTTCCTATGTACTTGCTTCCGCAGGTGCACGTGAATTGATAAATGCAGTTGGAGTTGACGTGAGTAGGGTACTCATCTACTTTTGTCTGGGTTAACGAGCACACAGTGTTGTGAAATAGGATCAGTCTGGCAGCTGGAAATGTTTTTTTTAATGCGCCTGTGATTG